AGTTCCCATACTGACCGACCTGGCCAATGCACCATTTTCCGTATACATATGCATAAGATTCCTTTCAAACCTTATTAGCTCACTAGATTTATATATTTCCCACCTTCTGATCGAGTGAGACCGCTAGATTCCCTTTACTTTTTGAGAAATGAGCGTTTCCGTTCTCCTTGGCCCTACTTGCACTATAAGTGCGAAATGCCGGCCAGACTGGCCGATGCACCATTTTCTCTACACATGTGCGTTAGTTACCTTTCAAACCCTTACGTTCACTAGATGAATTTATTTCCTACCTTCTATTTGAGTGAGACCACTAGATTCTGTGTACTATGCGAGATCTGAGCGCTTCCGTTCTCCATGGCATTTGCACTCTAAGTTCCCATACTGCCCGACCTGGCCAATGCACCATTTTCCATATACATATGCATTAGATTCCTTTCAAACCTTATTAGCTCACTAGATTTATATATTTCCCACCTTCTGATCGAGTGAGACCGCTAGATTCCCTCTACTTTTTGAGAAATGAGCGTTTCCGTTCTCCTTGGCCCTAGTTGCACTATAAGTGCGAAATGCCGGCCAGACTGGCCGATGCACAATTTTCTCTACACATGTGCATTAGTTACCTTTCAGACCCTTACGTTCACTAGATGATTATAATTCCTACTTTCTATTTGAGTGAGACCACTTGATTCCGTGTACTATGCGAGATCTGAGCGCTTCCGTTCTCCCTGGCATTTGCATTTTAAGTTCCGATACTGACCGACCTGGCCAATGCACCATTTTCTCTATACATGTGCGTTGAATACATTTCAAACCTTTTTAGCTGACTAGATTTATATATTTCCCACCTTCTGATCGAGTGAGACCGTTAGATTCCCTCTACTTTTTGAGAAACGAGCGTTTCCGTTCTCCCTGGCCCCACTAGCACTATGAGTGCGAAATGCCGGCCAGACTGGCCGATGCACCATTTTCTCTACACATAGTTACCTTTCAAACCCTTATGTTCACTAGATGAATATATTTCCTACCTTATATTTGAGTGAGACCACTAGATTCCGTGTATTATGCGAGATCTGAGCGGTTCCTTTCTCCCATGCATTTGCACTCTAAGTTCCCATACTGACCGACCTGGCCAATGCACCACTTTCCATATACATATGCATTAGATTCCTTCCGAACCTTATTAGCTCACTAGATTTATATATTTCCCACCTTCTGATCGAGTGAGACCGCTAGATTCCCTTTACTTTTTGAGAAATGAGCGTTTCCGTTCTCCTTGGCCCTACTTGCACTAAAAGTGCGAAATGCCGGCCAGACTGGCCGATGCACCATTTTCTCTACACATGTGCGTTATTTACCTTTCAAACCCTTACGTTCACTAGATGAATTTATTTCCTACCTTCTATTTGAGTGAGACCACTAGATTCCGTGTACTATGCGAGATCTGAGCGCTTCCGTTCTCCCTGGCATTTGCACTCTAAGTTCCCATACTGACCGACCTGGCCAATGCACCATTTTCCATATACATATGCATTCGATTCCTTTCAAACCTTATTAGCTCACTAGATTTATATATTTCCCACCTTCTGATCGAGTGAGACCGCTAGATTCCCTTTACTTTTTGAGAAATGAGCGTTTCCGTTCTCCTTGGCCCTACTTGCACTATAAGTGCGAAATGCCGGCCAGCCTGGCCGATGCACCATTTTCTCTACACATGTGCGTTATTTACCTTTCAAACCCTTACGTTCACTAGATGAATTTATTTCCTACCTTCTATTTGAGTGAGACCACTAGATTCCGTGTACTATGCGAGATCTGAGCGCTTCCGTTCTCCCTGGCATTTGCACTCTAAGTTCCCATACTGACCGACCTGGCCAATGCACCATTTTCCATATAAATATGCATTCGATTCCTTTCAAACCTTATTAGCTCACTAGATTTATATATTTCCCACCTTCAGATCGAGTGAGACCGCTAGATTCCCTTTACTTTTTGAGAAATGAGCGTTTCCGTTCTCCTTGGCCCTACTTGCACTATAAGTGCGAAATGCCGGCCAGCCTGGCCGATGCACCATTTTCTCTACACATGTGCGTTAGTTACCTTTCAAACCCTTACGTTCACTAGATGAATTTATTTCCTACCTTCTATTTGAGTGAGACCACTAGATTCCGTGTACTATGCGAGATCTGAGCGGTTCCGTTCTCCCTGGCATTTGCACTCTAAGTTCCCATACTGACCGACCTGGCCAATGCACCATTTTCCATATACATATGCATTAGATTCCTTTCAAACCTTATTAGCTCACTAGATTTATATATTTCCCACCTTCTGATCGAGTGAGACCGCTAGATTCCCTTTACTTTTTTAGAAATGAGCGTTTCCGTTCTCCTTGGCCCTACTTGCACTATAAGTGCGAAATGCCGGCCAGACTGGCCGATGCACCATTTTCTCTACACATGTGCGTTAGTTACCTTTCAAACCCTTACGTTCACTAGATGAATATATTTCCTACCTTCTATTTGAGTGTGACCACTAGATTCCGTATACTATGCGAGATCTGAGCGGTTCCGTTCTCCCTGGCATTTGCATTTTAAGTTCCGATACTAACCGACCTGGCCAATGCACCATTTTCTCTATACATGTGCGTTGAATACATTTCAAACCTTTTTAGCTGACTAGATTTATATATTTCCCACCTTCTGATCGAGTGAGACCGTTAGATTCCCTCTAGTTTATGAGAAACGAGCGTTTCCGTTCTCCCTGGCCCCACCTGCACTATGAGTGCGAAATGCCGGCCAGACTGGCCGATGCACCATTTTCTCTACACATGTGCGTTAGTTACCTTTCAAACCCTTACGTTCACTAGATGATTTTATTTCCTATCTTCCATGTGAGTGAGACCACTAGATTCCGTATACTATGCGAGATCTGAGCGGTTCCGTTCTCACTGGCATTTGCACTCTAAGTTCCCATACTGACCGACCTAGCCAATGAACCGCTTTCCATATACATATGCATTAGATTCCTTCCGAACCTTATTAGCTCACTAGATCTATATATTTCCCACCTTCTGATCGAGTGAGACCGCTAGATTCCCTTTACTTTTTGAGAAATGAGCGTTTCCGTTCTCCTTGGCCCTACTTGCACTATAAGTGCGAAATGCCGGCCAGCCTGGCCGATGCACCATTTTCTCTACACATGTGCGTTATTTACCTTTCAAACCCTTACGTTCACTAGATGAATTTATTTCCTACCTTCTATTTGAGTGAGACCACTAGATTCCGTGTACTATGCGAGATCTGAGCGGTTCCGTTCTCCCTGGCATTTGCACTCTAAGTTCCCATACTGACCGACCTGGCCAATGCACCATTTTCCATATACATATGCATTCGATTCCTTTCAAACCTTATTAGCTCACTAGATTTATATATTTCCCACCTTCTGATCGAGTGAGACCGCTAGATTCCCTTTACTTTTTGAGAAATGAGCGTTTCCGTTCTCCTTGGCCCTACTTGCACTATAAGTGCGAAATGCCGGCCAGCCTGGCCGATGCACCATTTTCTCTACACATGTGCGTTAGTTACCTTTCAAACCCTTACGTTCACTAGATGAATTTATTTCCTACCTTCTATTTGAGTGAGACCACTAGATTCCGTGTACTATGCGAGATCTGAGCGGTTCCGTTCTCCCTGACATTTGCACTCTAAGTTCCCATACTGACCGACCTGGCCAATGCACCATTTTCCATATACATATGCATTAGATTCCTTTCAAACCTTATTAGCTCACTAGATTTATATATTTCCCACCTTATGATCGAGTGAGAACGCTAGATTCCCTCTACTTCTTGAGAAATGAGCGTTTCCGTTCTCCTTGGCCCTAGTTGCACTATAAGTGCGAAATGCCGGCCAGACTGGCCGATGCACCATTTTCTCTACACATGTGCGTTAGTTACCTTTCAAACCCTTACGTTCACTAGATGAATATATTTCCTACTTTCTATTTGAGTGAGACCACTTGATTCCGTGTACTATGCGAGATCTGAGCGCTTCCGTTCTCCCTGGCATTTGCATTTTAAGTTCCGATACTGACCGACCTGGCCAATGCACCATTTTCTCTATACATGTGCGTTGAATACATTTCAAACCTTTTTAGCTGACTAGATTTATATATTTCCCACCTTCTGATCGAGTGAGACCGTCAGATTCCCTCTACTTTTTGAGAAACGAGCGTTTCCGTTCTCCCTGGCCCCACCTGCACTATGAGTGCGAAATGCCGGCCAGACTGGCCGATGCACCATTTTCTCTACACATGTGCGTTAGTTACCTTTCAAACCCTTATGTTCACTAGATGAATATATTTCCTACCTTACATTTGAGTGAGACCACTAGATTCCGTGTATTATGCGAGATCTGAGCGGTTCCGTTCTCCCTGGCATTTGCACTCTAAGTTCCCATACTGACCGACCTGGCCAATGCACCACTTTCCATATACATATGCATTAGATTCCTTCCGAACCTTATTAGCTCACTAGATTTATATATTTCCCACCTTCTGATCGAGTGAGACCGCTAGATTCCCTCTACTTTTTGAGAAACGAGCGTTTCCGTTCTCCCTGGCCCCACCTGCACTATGAGTGCGAAATGCCGGCCTGACTGGCCGATGCACCATTTTCTCTACACATGTGCGTTAGTTACCTTTCAAACCCTTACGTTCACTAGATGAATATATTTCCTACCTTATATTTGAGTGAGACCACTTGATTCCGTGTACTATGCGAGATCTGAGCGCTTCCGTTCTCCCTGGCATTTGCACTCTAAGTTCCCATACTGACCGACCTGGCCAATGCACCATTTTCCATATACATGTGCGTTGAATACATTTCAAACCTTTTTAGCTGACTAGATTTATATATTTCCCACCTTTTGATCAGGTGAGACCGTTAGATTCCCTCTACTTTTTGAGAAACGAGCGTTTCCGTTCTCCCTGGCCCCACCTGCACTATGAGTGCGAAATGCCGGCCAGACTCGCCGATGCACCATTCTCTCTACACATGTGCGTTAGTTACCTTTCAAACCCTTACGTTCACTAGATGAATATACTTCCTACCTTATATTTGAGTGAGACCACTAGATTCCGTGTATTATGCGACATCTGAGCGGTTCCGTTCTCCCAGGCATTTGCACTCTAAGTTCCCATACTGACCGACCTGGCCAATGCACCATTTTCTCTATACATGTGCGTTGAATAAATTTCAAACCTTTTTAGCTGACTAGATTTATATATTTCCCACCTTCTGATCGAGTGAGACCGTTAGATTCCCTCTAGTGGACGTTGACGTGGACGTGGACGTGGACATGGACGTGGACGTGGACATGGACGTGGACATGGACGTGGACGTGGACATGGACGTGGACGTGGACATGGACGTGGACGTGGACGTGGACGTGGACGTGGACGTGGACGTGGACGTTGAAGTGGACGTGGACGTGGACGTGGACATGGACGTGGTCGTGGATGTGGACGTGGACGTGGAGGTGGACGTGGATCTGGAGGACGTGGACATGGACGTGGACGTGGAGGACGTGGACATGGACGTGGACGTCGTCGATGTGGACATGGACGTGGACGTGGACGTGGACGTGGACGTGGAGGACTTGGACGAGGACATGGACGTGGATGTGGACGTGGATGTGGACGTGGACGAAGACATGGTCGTGGACGTGGACGTGGACGTGGACGTGGACGAAGACATGGTCGTGGACGTGGACGTGGACGTGGACGTGGACGAAGACATGGTCGTGGACGTGGACGTGATCGTGGACGTGGACGTCGACGTGGACGTGGACGTGATCGTGGACGTGGACGTGGACGTGGACGTGGACGTGGACCTGGACATGGACGTGGATGTGGACGTAAACATGGACGTGGACCTCGACGTGGACCTGGACGTGGACGTAAACGTGGACGTGGACGTGGACGTGGACCTGGTTGTGGACGTGGTTGTGGACGTGGACGTGGACGTGGACGTGGATGTGGACGTGGACGTGGACGTGGAGGTGGACTTGGACGTGGACATGGACGTGGACGTGGACGTGGAGGTGGACGTGGAGGTGGACGTGGACGTGGACGTGGACGTGGAGGTGGACGTGGACTCAGAGGTGGACGTGGACGTGGACGTGGACGTGGACGTGGACTTGGACGTGGACGTGGACGTGGACGTGGACGTGGACGTGGACGTGGACGTGGACGTGGACCTGGACGTGGACGTGGACGTGGACGTGGACGTGGACGTGGACGTGGACGTGTACGTGGACGTGGACGTGGACATGGACGTGGATGTGGACGTGGACCTGGACGTGGACGTGGACGTGGACGTGGACGTGGACATGGATGGACATGGACGTGGCCATGGTCGTGGACGTGGACGTGGACGTGGACGTGGACGTGGACATGGACGTGGACGTGGACGTGGACGTGGACGTGTACATGGACGTGGACGTGGACGTGGACGTGGACGTAGACGTGGACGTGGACGTAGACGTGGACGTGGACATGGACGTGGACGTGGACGTGGACGTGGACGTAGACGTGGACGTGGACGTAGACGTAGACGTGGACGTGGACGTTGACGTAGACGTGGACGTGGACGTGGACATGGACGTGGACGTGGACGTGGACGTGGACGTGGACGACATGGACGTGGACGTGGACGTGGACGTGGACGTGGACGTGGACCGCGTCCGCGTCCGCAGACGTGGACGTGGACGTGGCACGGTCGTGGACGTGGACGTGGACGTGGACGTGGACGTGGACGTGGACGTGGACATGGACGTGGACGTGGACGTGGACGCGGTCGTGGACGTGGACGTGGACGTGGACGTGGACGTGGAAGTGGACGTGGACGTGGACGTGGACGTGGACGTGGACGTGGATGTGGACGTGGAGATGGACGTGGACGTGGACGTGGACGTGGACGTGGACGTGGAGATGGACGTGGACGTGGACGTGGACATGGACGTGGACATGGACGTGGACGTGGACGTGGACGTGGACGTGGACATAGACGTGGACGTGGACGTGGACGTGGACGTGGACGTGGACGTGGACGTGGACATGGTCGTGGACGTGGACGTGGACATGGACGTGGACGTGGACGTGGATGTGGACATGGACATGGACGTGGACGTGGACGTTGACGTGGTGGACTTGGACGTGGACATGGACGTGGACGTGGACGTGGACGTGGACGTGGAGGACGTGGACATGGACGTGGACGTGGACATGGACGTGGACATGGACGTGGACGTGGACGTGGACATGGTCGTGGACGTGGACGTGGACGTGGACGTGGACATGGACGTGGACATGGTCGTGGACGTGGACGTGGACGTGGACGTGGACATGGACGTGGACGTGGACATGAAGGACATGGACGTGGACGTGGACGTGGACGACTTGGACGTGGACATGGACGTGGACGTCGACGTGGACGTGGACGTGGACGTGGACGTGGATGTGGACGTGGACGTGGACGTGGACGTGCACATGGACGTGGACATGGACGTGGACGTGGACGTGGACATGGACGTGGACGTGGACGTGGACGTGGACGTGGACGTGGACATGGACGTGGACGTGGACGTGGACATGGACGTGGACGTGGACGTGGAAGTGGACGTGGACGCGGACGTGGACATGGACATAGACGTGGACGTGGACGTGGACGTGGACATGGACGTGGACGTGGACTTGGACGTGGACGTGGACATGGACGTGGACGTGGACGTGGACGTGGACATAGACGTGGACGTGGACGTGGACGTGGACGTGGACCTGGACGTGGACGTGGACGTGGACGTGGACGTGGACATGGACGTGGACGTGGACGTGGACGTGGACGTGGACGTGGACATAGACGTGGACGTGGACGTGGACGTGGACGTGGACATGGACGTGGACGTGGACGTGGACGTGGACAGGGACGTGGACGTAGACGTGGACGTGGACGTGGACATGGACGTGGACGTGGACGTGGACGTGGACGTGGACGTGGACATGGACATGGACGTGGACGTGGACGTGGACATGGACGTGGACGTGGATGTGGACGTGGACTTGGACGTGGACGTGGACGTGGACGTGGACATGGACATGGACGTGGACGTGGACGTGGACGTGGACATGGACGTGGACGTGGACGTGGACATGGACGTGGACGTGGACATGGACGTGGACGTGGACGTGGACGTGGACGTGGACATGGACGTGGACGTGGACATGGACGTGGACGTGGACATGGACGTGGACGTGGACGTGGACGTGGACGTGGACATGGACGTGGACGTGGACGTGGACGTGGACGTGGACATGGACGTGGACGTGGACATGGACGTGGACGTGGACGTGGACGTGGACATGGACGTGGACGTGGACATGAACGTGGAGATGGACGTGGACGCGGACATGGACATGGACATGGACGTGGATGTGGACATGGACGTGGACGTGGACATGGACATGGACGTGGACGTGGACATGGACATGGACGTGGACGTGGACGTGGACGTGGACATAGACGTGGACGTGGACGTGGACGTGGACATGGACATGGACGTGGACGTGGACGTGGACGTGGACTTGGACGTGGACGTGGACGTGGACGTGGACATGGACATGGACGTGGACGTGGACGTGGACATGGACGTAGACCTGGACATAGACATGGACGTGGACGTGGACGTGGACGTGGACCTGGACGTGGACGTGGACCTGGACGTAGACCTAGACGTGGACGTGGACATGGACGTGGACGTGGACGTGGACGTGGACGTGGACATAGACGTGGACGTGGACGTGGACGTGGACATGGACGTGGACGTGGACGTGGACGGGGACGTGGACGTGGACGTGGACGTGGACGTGGACATGGACGTGGACGTGGACGTGGACGTGGACGTAGACGTGGACATGGACGTGGACGTGGACATAGACGTGGACGTGGACGTGGACGTGGACGTAGACGTGGACGTGGACGTGTAGACGTGGACGTGGACGTGGACGTGGACGTGGACTTGGACGTGGACGTGGACGTGGACGTGGACTTGGACGTGGACGTGGACGTGGACGTGGACATGGACGTGGACGTGGACGTGGACGTGGACGTGGACGTCGACATGGTCGTGGGCGTGGACATGGACATGGACGTGGACGTGGACGTGGACATGGACGTGGACGTGGACGTGGACGTGGACGTGGACGTGGACATGGACGTGGACGTGGACGTGGACATGGACGTGGACGTGGACATCGACGTGGACGTGGACATGGACATGGACGTGGACGTCGACGTGGACATGGACGTGGACGTGGACATGGACGTGGATATGGACGTGGACGTGGACGTGGACGTGGACGTGGACGTGGACATGGACGTGGACGTGGACGTGGACGTGGACGTGGACGTGGACATGGACATGGACGTGGACGTGGACGTGGACGTGGACGTGGACATGGACGTGGACGTGGACATGGACGTGGACGTGGACATGGACGTGGACGTGGACGTGGACGTGGACGTGGACATGGACGTGGACGTGGACGTGGACATGGACATGGACGTGGACGTGGACGTGGACATGGACGTGGACCTGAACATAGACGTGGACGTGGACGTGGACGTGGACGTGGACGTGGACGTGGACGTGGACATGGACGTGGACGTGGACATGAACGTGGACGTGGACGTGGACGTGGACGTGGACGTGGACATAGACGTGGACGTGGACGTGGACGTGGACGTGGACATGGAGGTGGACGTGGACGTGGACGTGGACGTGGACGTGGACGGGGACGTGGACGTAGACGTGGACGTGGACGTGGACATGGACATGGACGTGGACGTGGACGTGGACATGGACGTGGACCTGAACATAGACGTGGACGTGGACGTGGACGTGGACGTGGACATGGACGTGGACGTGGACATGGACGTGGACGTGGACGTGGACGTGGACGTGGACGTGGACATAGACGTGGACGTGGACGTGGACGTGGACATGGAGGTGGACGTGGACGTGGACGTGGACGTGGACGTGGACGGGGACGTGGACGTAGACGTGGACGTGGAGGTGGACGTGGACGTGGACGTGGACCTAGAGGTGGACGTGGACGTGGACGTGGACATGGACGTGGATGTGGACGTGGACGTGGACATGGACGTGGACGTGGACGTGGACGTGGACGTTGACGTGGACGTGGACGTGGTCGTGGACGTGGACGTGGACGTGGACGTGGACCTGGTCGTGGACGAGGACGTGGACGTGGACGTGGACGTGGACGTGGACGTGGACATGGTCGTGGACGTGGACGTGGACGTGGACGTGGACGTGGACATGGTCCTGGACATGGACGTGGACGTGGACGTGGACGTGGACATGGTCGTGGACGTGGACGTGGACGTGGACGTGGACGTGGACGTGGACCTGGTCGTGGACGTGGACGTGGACGTCGACGTGGACGTCGTCGTGGACGTGGACGTGGACGTTGACGTGGACGTGGACGTGGACATGGTCGTGTGGACGTGGTCGTAGACGTGGACGTGGACGTGGTCGTGGACGTGGACGTGGACGTGGACGTGGACGTGGACATGGACGTGGACGTGGACGTGGACATGGACATGGACGTGGACGTGGACGTGGACGTGGACATGGACGTGGACCTGAACATAGACGTGGACGTGGACGTGGACGTGGACGTGGACGTGGACGTGGACGTGGACATGGACGTGGACGTGGACATGGACGTGGACGTGGACGTGGACGTGGACGTAGACGTAGACGTGGACGGGGACGTGGACGTAGACGTGGACGTGGAGGTGGACGTGGACGTGGACGTGGACATAGAGGTGGACGTGGACGTGGACGTGGACATGGACGTGGACGTGGACGTGGACATGGACGTGGACGTGGACGTGGACGTGGACGTTGACGTAGACGTGGACGTGGTCGTGGACGTGGACGTGGACGTGGACGTGGACGTGGACCTGGTCGTGGACGTGGACGTGGACGTGGACGTGGACGTGGACATGGTCGTGGACATGGACGTGGACGTGGACGTGGACGTGGACGTGGACATGGTCATGGACGTGGACGTGGACGTGGACGTGGACGTGGACGTGGACATGGTCGTGGACGTGGACGTGGACGTGGACGTGGACGTGGACCTGGTCGTGGACGTGGACGTGGACGTCGACGTGGACGTGGTCGTGGACGTGGACGTGGACGTTGACGTGGACGTGGACGTGGACATGGTCGTGTGGACGTGGTCGTAGACGTGGACGTGGACGTGGACGTGGTCGTGGACGTGGACGTGGACGTGGACGTGGACGTGGACGTTGACGTGGACGTGGACGTGGTCATGGACGTGGACGTGGACGTGGACATGGACGTGGACGTGGACATGGACGTGGACGTGGACATGGACGTGGACGTGGACGTGGACGTGGACGTGGACATGGACGTGGACGTGGACATGGACGTGGACGTGGACGTGGACGTGGACATGGACGTGGACGTGGACATGAACGTGGAGATGGACGTGGACGCGGACATGGACATGGACATGGACGTGGATGTGGACATGGACGTGGACGTGGACATGGACATGGACGTGGACGTGGACATGGACGTGGACGTGGACGTGGACGTGGACATGGACGTGGACCATGGACGTGGACGTGGACATGGACATGGACATGGACGTGGACGTGGACATGGACGTGGACGTGGACATGGACATGGACGTGGACGTGGACGTGGACGTGGACATGGACGTGGACGTGGACGTGGACGTGGACGTGGACGTGGACATGGACGTGGACGTGGACGTGGACGTGGACGGGGACGTGGACATGGACGTGGACGTGGACATGGACATGGACGTGGACGTGGACGTGGACGTGGACATAGACGTGGACGTGGACGTGGACGTGGACATGGACATGGACGTGGACGTGGACGTGGACGTGGACTTGGACGTGGACGTGGACGTGGACGTGGACATGGACATGGACGTGGACGTGGACGTGGACATGGACGTAGACCTGGACATAGACATGGACGTGGACGTGGACGTGGACGTGGACCTGGACGTGGACGTGGACCTGGACGTAGACCTAGACGTGGACGTGGACATGGACGTGGACGTGGACGTGGACGTGGACGTGGACATAGACGTGGACGTGGACGTGGACGTGGACATGGACGTGGACGTGGACGTGGACGGGGACGTGGACATGGACGTGGACGTGGACGTGGACATGGACGTGGACGTGGACGTGGACGTGGACGTAGACGTGGACATGGACGTGGACGTGGACATAGACGTGGACGTGGACGTGGACGTGGACGTAGACGTGGACGTGGACGTGTAGACGTGGACGTGGACGTGGACGTGGACGTGGACTTGGACGTGGACGTGGACGTGGACGTGGACTTGGACGTGGACGTGGACGTGGACGTGGACATGGACGTGGACGTGGACGTGGACGTGGACGTCGACATGGTCGTGGGCGTGGACATGGACATGGACGTGGACGTGGACGTGGACATGGACGTGGACGTGGACGTGGACGTGGACGTGGACATGGACGTGGACGTGGACGTGGACATGGACGTGGACGTGGACATCGACGTGGACGTGGACATGGACATGGACGTGGACGTCGACGTGGACATGGACGTGGACGTGGACATGGACGTGGATATGGACGTGGACGTGGACGTGGACGTGGACGTGGACGTGGACATGGACGTGGACGTGGACGTGGACGTGGACGTGGACGTGGACATGGACATGGACGTGGACGTGGACGTGGACGTGGACGTGGACATGGACGTGGACGTGGACATGGACGTGGACGTGGACATGGACGTGGACGTGGACGTGGACGTGGACGTGGACATGGACGTGGACGTGGACGTGGACATGGACATGGACGTGGACGTGGACGTGGACATGGACGTGGACCTGAACATAGACGTGGACGTGGACGTGGACGTGGACGTGGACGTGGACGTGGACGTGGACGTGGACATGGACGTGGACGTGGACATGAACGTGGACGTGGACGTGGACGTGGACGTGGACGTGGACATAGACGTGGACGTGGACGTGGACGTGGACGTGGACATGGAGGTGGACGTGGACGTGGACGTGGACGTGGACGTGGACGGGGACGTGGACGTAGACGTGGACGTGGACGGGGACGTGGACGTAGACGTGGACGTGGAGGTGGACGTGGACGTGGACGTGGACATAGAGGTGGACGTGGACGTGGACGTGGACATGGACGTGGATGTGGACGTGGACGTGGACATGGACGTGGACGTGGACGTGGACGTGGACGTGGACGTTGACGTGGACGTGGACGTGGTCGTGGACGTGGACGTGGACGTGGACGTGGACCTGGTCGTGGACGAGGACGTGGACGTGGACGTGGACGTGGACGTGGACGTGGACATGGTCGTGGACGTGGACGTGGACGTGGACGTGGACGTGGACATGGTCCTGGACATGGACGTGGACGTGGACGTGGACGTGGACATGGTCGTGGACGTGGACGTGGACGTGGACGTGGACGTGGACGTGGACCTGGTCGTGGACGTGGACGTGGACGTCGACGTGGACGTCGTCGTGGACGTGGACGTGGACGTTGACGTGGACGTGGACGTGGACATGGTCGTGTGGACGTGGTCGTAGACGTGGACGTGGACGTGGTCGTGGACGTGGACGTGGACGTGGACGTGGACGTGGACATGGACGTGGACGTGGACGTGGACATGGACATGGACGTGGACGTGGACGTGGACGTGGACATGGACGTGGACCTGAACATAGACGTGGACGTGGACGTGGACGTGGACGTGGACGTGGACGTGGACGTGGACATGGACGTGGACGTGGACATGGACGTGGACGTGGACGTGGACGTGGACGTAGACGTAGACGTGGACGGGGACGTGGACGTAGACGTGGACGTGGAGGTGGACGTGGACGTGGACGTGGACGTGGACATAGAGGTGGACGTGGACGTGGACGTGGACATGGACGTGGACGTGGACGTGGACATGGACGTGGACGTGGACGTGGACGTGGACGTTGACGTAGACGTGGACGTGGTCGTGGACGTGGACGTGGACGTGGACGTGGACCTGGTCGTGGACGTGGACGTGGACGTGGACGTGGACGTGGACATGGTCGTGGACATGGACGTGGACGTGGACGTGGACGTGGACGTGGACATGGTCATGGACGTGGACGTGGACGTGGACGTGGACGTGGACATGGTCGTGGACGTGGACGTGGACGTGGACGTGGACGTGGACCTGGTCGTGGACGTGGACGTGGACGTCGACGTGGACGTGGTCGTGGACGTGGACGTGGACGTTGACGTGGACGTGGACGTGGACATGGTCGTGTGGACGTGGTCGTAGACGTGGACGTGGACGTGGACGTGGTCGTGGACGTGGACGTGGACGTGGACGTGGACGTGGACGTTGACGTGGACGTGGACGTGGTCATGGACGTGGACGTGGACGTGGACGTGGACGTTGACGTGGACGTGGACGTGGACGTGGTCGTGGACGTGGACGTGGAGGACGTGGAGGACGTGGACGTCGTGGACGTGGAGGACTTGGACGTGGACGTGGACGTGGACGTGGACGTGGACGTGGTCGTGGACGTGGACGTGGACGTGGACGTGGTCGTGGACGTGGTCGTGGACGTGGACGTGGTCGTGGACGTGGACGTGGACGTGGACGTGGACGTGGACGTGGTCGTGGACGTGGTCGTAGACGTGGACGTGGAGGTGGTCGTGGAGGTGGTCGTGGACGTGGACGTGGAGGTGGTCGTAGACGTGGACGTGGACGTGGACGTAGACGTGGATTTGGACGTGGACGTGGACATGGACGTGGACGTGGACGTGGACGTGGTCGTGGACGTGGACAAGGACGTGGTTGTGGACGTGGACGTGGTCTTGGACGTGGTCGTAGACGTGGACGTGGAGGTGGTCGTGGAGGTGGTCGTGGACGTGGACGTGGAGGTGGTCGTGGTCGTGGACGTGGACGTGGACGTGGACGTGGACGTGGAGGTGGTCGTAGACGTGGACGTGGAGGTGGTCGTGGAGGTGGTCGTGGTTGTGGTCGTGGTCGTGGACGTGGACCTGGACGTGGACGTGGTCGTGGTCGTGGTCGTGGTCGTGTCGTGGACCTGGACGTGGACGTGGACGTGGATGTGGTCGTGGACGTGGACGTGGACGTGGACCTGGACGTGGACGTGGACATGGACGTAGACGTGGACATGGACGTGGACGTGGACGTGGACGTGGACGTGGACATGGTCGTGGACGTGGACATGGACGTGGACGTGGACGTGGACGTAGACGTGGACGTGGACGTGGACCGTGGACGTAGACGTGGACGTGGACATGGACGTGGACGTGGTCGTGGACGTGGTCGTGGTCGTGGTCGTGGACGTGGACGTGGACGTGGACTGGTCTTGGACGTGGACGTGGGCGTGGACGTGGACGTGGACGTGGACGTGGACGTGGACATGGTCGTGGACGTGGGCGTGGACGTGTACGTGGACATGGTCGTGGACGTGGACGTGGACGTGGACGTGGTCGTGGACATGGACGTGGACGTGGAAGTGGGCGTGGACGTGGACGTGGACGTGGATGTGGACCTGGTCGTGGACGTGGACGTGGACGTGGACGTGGACGTGGACATGGACGTGGACGTGGACGTGGACGTGGACGTGGACGTTGACGTGGACGTGGACGTGGTCGTGGACGTGGACGTGGACGTGGACGTGGACTTGGACGTGGACCTGGTCGTGGACGTGGACGTGGACGTGGACGTGGACGTCGACGTGGACGTGGACCTGGTCGTGGACGTGGACGTGGACGTCGACGTGGACGTGGACATGGTCGTGTGGACGTGGACGTTGACGTGGACGTCGACGTGGACGTGGTCGTGGACGTGGACGTGGACGTGGACGTGGACCTGGACGTGGACGTGGTCGTGGACGTGGACGTGGACGTGGACGTTGACGTGGACGTGGACGTGGTCGTAGACGTGGACGTGGACGTGAACGTGCACGTGGACGTTGACGTGGACGTGGACGTGGACCTGGTCGTGGACGTGGACGTGGACGTGGACGTGGACCTGGTCGTGGACGTGGACGTGGACGTGGTCGTGGACGTGGACGTGGACGTGGTCGTGGACGTGGACGTGGACGTGGACGTGGAGGTGGAGGTGGACATGGATGTGGACGTGGACGTGGACGTGGACGTAGACGTGGACGTGAACGTGGACGTGGACGTGGTCGTGGACGTGGACGTGGACGTGGACGTGGACGTGGAGGTGGACGTGGAGGTGGACGTGGAGGTGGACGTGGAGGTGGACGTGGAGGTGGACGTGGAGGTGGACGTGGACGTGGAGGTGGACGTGGACGTGGACGTGGAGGTGGACGTGGACGTGGACGTGGACGTGGACGTGGACGTGGACATGGTCGTGGACGTGGACGTCGACGTCGACGTGGACGTGGACGTGGACCTGGTCGTGGACGTGGACGTGGACGTCGACGTGGACGTGGTCGTGGACGTGGACGTGGACGTGGACGTGGACTTGGACGTGGACCTGGTCGTGGACGTGGACGTGGACATGGTCGTGGACGTGGACGTGGACGTGGACGTGGACGTGGACATGGTCGTGGACGTGGACGTGGACGTGGACGTGGACGTGGACCTTGACGTGGACGTCGACGTGGACGTGGACCTGGTCGTGGACGTGGACGTGGACGTCGACGTGGACGTGGACATGGTCGTGTGGACGTGGACGTTGACGTGGACATCGACGTGGACGTGGTCGTGGACGTGGACGTGGATGTGGACGTGGACCTGGACGTGGTCGTGATCGTGGACGTGGACGTGGACGTAGACGTTGACGTGGACGTGGACGTGGTCGTAGACATGGACGTGGACGTGGACGCGTGGACGTGGACGTGGACGTGGACGTGGACGTGGACGTGGACATGGACGTGGTCGTGGACGTGGACGTGGTCGTGGTCGTGGACATGGACGTGGACGTGGACGTGGACGTGGACGTGGACGTACACGTGGACGTGGACGTGGACGTGGACGTGGTCGTGGACCTGGACGTGGACGTGGACGTGGACGTGGACGTGGTCGAGGAGGTGGACGTGGAGGTGGACGTGGACGTGGACGTGGACGTGGACGTGGACGTGGACCTGGACGTGGACGTGGACGTGGACTTGGACGTGGACGTGGACGTGGACGTGGACGTGGACGTGGACTTGGACGTGGACGTGGACGTGGACGTGGACATGGACGTGGACGTGGACGTGGACGTGGACGTGGTCGTGGAGGTGGACGTGGACGTGGACGTGGACGTGGACGTGGACGTGGACTTGGACGTGGACGTGGACGTGGACGTGGACGTGGACTTGGACGTGGACATGGACGTGGACGTGGACGTGGACGTGGACGTGAACGTGGAGGTGGACGTGGACGTGGACATAGACGTGGTCGTGGACGTGGACGTGGACGTGGTCGTGGACGTGGACGTGGAGGTGGACGTGGTCGTGGACGTGGACGTGGACGTGGACGTGGACGTGGACGTGGACGTGGACATGGACATGGACGTGGACGTGGACGTGGACGTGGACGTGGACGTGGACGTGGACGTGGTCGTGGTCGTGGACGTAGACGTGGACGTGGACTTGGACGTGGACGTGGACGTGGACGTGGACGTGGAGGTGGACGTGGACGTGGACATAGACGTGGTCGTGGACGTGGACGTGGACGTGGACGTGGACGTGGACGTGGACATGGACGTGAACTTGGACGTGGTCGTGGACGTGGACGTGGACGTGGACGTGGACGTGGACGTGGAGGTGGACGTGGACGTGGACATAGACGTGGTCGTGGACTTGGACGTGGACGTGGTCGTGGACGTGGACGTGGACTTGGACGTGGACGTGGACGTGGACGTGGACATGGACGTGGACGTGGACGTGGACGTGGACGTACACGTGGACGTGGACGTGGACGTGGACGTACACGTGGACATGGACGTGGACATGGACGTGGACGTGGACGAGGACGTGGACGTGGAGGACGTGGACGTGGACGTGGACGTGGAGGACGTGGACGTGGACGTGGACGTGGAGGACGTGGACGTGGAACTGGACGTGGACGTGGACGTGGACGCGTGGACATGGACGTGGACGTGGACGCGTGGAGGTGGACGTGGACGTGGACGTGGACGTGGACATGGACGTGGACGTGGACGTGGTCGTGGACGTGGACGTGGACGTGGACGTGGATGTGGACGTATACGTGGACGTGGACGTGGACGTGGACGTGGACGTGGACGTGGACCTGGACGTGGACGTGGACGTGGACGTGGACGTGGACGTGGACGTGGACGTGGACCTGGACGTGGACGTGGACGTGGACGTGGAGGTGGACGTGGACGTGGACGTGGACGTGGACGTGGACCTGGACGTGGTCGTGGAGGTGGACGTGGACGTGGACGTGGATGTGGACTTGGACGTGGACCTGGACGTGGACGTGGTCGTGGAGGTGGACCTGGTCGTGGACGTGGACGTGGACGTGGACGTGGACGTGGACGTGGACGTGGACGTGGACCTGGACGTGGACGTGGACGTGGACGTGGACACCTGGACGTGGACGTGGACGTGGACACGTGGATGTGGACGTGGACGTGGACTTGGACGTGGACGTGGACGTGGACGTGGACGTGGACTTGGACGTGGACGTGGACTTGGACGTGGACATGGACGTGGACGTGGACGTGGACGTGGACGTGAACGTGGAGGTGGACGTGGACGTGGACGTGGACGTGGACGTGGACGTGGACGTGGACGTGGAGGTGGACGTGGACGTGGTCGTGGACGTGGACGTGGACGTGGACGTGGACGTGGACATGGACGTGGACGTGGACGTGGACGTACACGTGGACGTGGACGTGGACGTGGACGTACACGTGGACGTGGACGTGGACATGGACGTGGACGTGGACGAGGACGTGGACGTGGAGGACGTGGACGTGGACGTGGACGTGGACGTGGAGGACGTGGACGTGGACGTGGACGTGGAGGACGTGGACGTGGACCTGGACGTGGACGTGGACGTGGACGCGTGGACATGGACGTGGACGTGGACGTGGACGTGGACGTGGACGTGGACGTGGACGTGGACATGGACGTGGACGTGGACGTGGACGTGGTCGTGGACGTGGACGTGGACGTGGACGTGGACATACACGTGGACGTACACGTGGACGTGGACGTGGACGTGGACGTGGACGTGGACCTGGACGTGGACGTGGACGTGGACATGGACGTGGACGTGGACGTGGACCTGGACGTGGACGTGGACGTGGACGTGGACGTGGTCGTGGAGGTGGACGTGGACGTGGACGTGGACGTGGTCGTGGACGTGGACGTGGACGTGGACGTGGACGCGTGGACGTGGACGTGGACGTGGACGTGGACGTGGACGTGGACGTGGACTTGGACGTGGACGTGGACGTGGACGTACACGTGGACGTGGACGTGGACGTACACGTGGACGTGGACGTGGTTGTGGACGTGGACGTGGACGTGGACGAGGACGAGGACGTGGACGTGGTTGTAGACGTGGACGTGGACGAGGACGTGGACGTGGACGTGGTTGTGGACGTGGACGTGGAGGACGTGGACGTGGACGTGGAGGACGTGGACGTGGACCGGGACGTGGAGGACGTGGACGTGGACGTGGACGTGGACGTGGACGTGGACGCGTGAACATGGACGTGGACGTGGACGCGTGGACGTGGACGTGGACGTGGACGTGGACGTGGACATGGACGTGGACGTGGACATGGACGTGGTCGTGGACGTGGGCGTGGACGTGGACGTGGACGTGGACGTACACGTGGACGTGGACGTGGACGTGGACGTGCACGTGGACGTGGATGTGGACGTGGACGTGCACGTGGACGTGGACGTGGACGTGGACGTGGACATGGACGTGGACGTGGACGTGGACGTGGACATGGACGTGGACGTGGACGTGGACGTGGACGTGGACCTGGACGTGGACGTGGACGTGGACGTGGACGTGGACCTGGACGTGGACCTGGACGTGGACGTGGACGTGGACGTGGACTTGGACGTGGACCTGGACGTGGACGTGGACATGGACATGGACGTGGACGTGGACGTGGACGTGGACGTGGTCGTGGACGTGGACGTGGACGTGGACGTGGACGTGGTCGTGGACGTGGACGTGGACGTGGACGTGGTCGTGGACGTGGACGTGGACGTGGACGTGGACCTGGACGTGGACGTGGACGTGGACGTGGACGTGGACGTGGACATGGACGTGGAGGACGTGGACGTGGACGTGGACGCGTGGACGTGGACGTGGACGCGTGGACGTGGACGTGGACGTGGACGTGGACGTGGACGTGGACATGGACGTGGACGTGGACGTGAACGTGAACGTGGACGTGGACGTGGACGTGGACGTGGACGTGGACGTGGACGTGGACATGGACGTGGACGTGGACGTGGTCGTGGACGTGGACGTGGACGTGGACGTGGACGTGGACTTGGACGTGGACGTGGACGTGGACGTGGACTTGGACGTGGTCGTGGACGTGGTCGTGGACGTGGACATGGTCGTGGACGTGGACGTGGACGTGGACGTGGACGTAAACTTGGACGTGGACGTGGACGTGGACGTGCACTTGGACGTGGACGTGGTCGTGGTCGTGGACTTGGACGTGGACGTGGACGTGGACGTGGACGTGGACGTGGACATGGTCGTGGACGTGGACGTGGACATGGACGTGAACGTGGACGTGGACGTGGACGTGGACGTGGACATGGTCGTGGACGTGGACGTGGAGGTGGACATGGATGTGGATGTGGAGGACTTGGACGTGGACATGGACGTGGACTTGGACGTGGACTTGGACGTGGACGTGGACGTGGACCTGGTCGTGGACGTGGACGTGGACCTGGTCGTGGATGTGGACGTGGACGTGGACGTGGACGTGGACGTGGTCGTGGACGAAGACGTGGACGTGGACGTGGACGTGGACGTGGACGTGGTCGTGGACGAAGACGTGGACCTGGACGTGGTCGTGGACATGGACGTGGACGTGGACGTGGACGTGGTCGTGGACGTGGACGTAGACGTGGACGTGGTCGTGGACGTGGACGTGGACGTGGACGTGGTCGTGGACGTGGACGTGGTCGTGGACGTGGACGTGGACGTGGACGTGGACATGGTCGTGGACGTGGACGTGGACGTGGACATGGACGTGGACGTGGACGTGGACGTGGACGTGGCCGTGGACGTGGTCGTGGACGTGGACGTGGACGTGGACGTGGTCGTGGACGTGGACGTGGACGTGGACGTGGACGTGGACGTGGACGTGGACGTGGACGTGGACTTGGACGTGGACGTGGACGTGGACGTGGACATGGACGTGGACGTGGACGTGGACGTGGACGTGGACGTGACGTGGACTTGACCCGGACGTGGACGTGGACGTGGACGTGGACGTGGAGGTGGACTTGACCTGGACGTGGACGTGGACGTGGACGTGGACGCGGACTTGACCTGGACGTCGACGTGGGACGCGGACGCGGACGTTGGACGGAGACGCGGACGCGGACGTTGGACGGGGACGTGGACGCGGACGTGGACGTGGACGCGGACGCGGACGTGCGGACGTGGACGTGGACGTGGTCGTGGACGTGGACGTGGACGTGGACGTGGACGTGGACGTGGACATGGACGTGGACGCGGACGTGGACGTGGACGTGGACGTGGACGTGGACGTGGTCGTGGACGTGGTCGTGGACGTGGACGTGGACGTGGACGTGGACGTGGTCGTGGACGTGGACGTGGATGTGGACGTGGACGTGGACGTGGACGTGGTCGTGGACGTGGACGTGGACGTGGACGTGGACGTGGACATAGACGTGGTCGTGGACGTGGACGTGGACGTGGTTGTGGACGTGGACGTGGACGTGGACGTGGACGTGGACCTGGACGTGGACGTAGACGTGGACGTGGACGTGGACGTGGACGTGGACGTACACATGGACATGGACATGGACGTGGACGTGGACGTGGACGTGGACGTGGACGTGGACGTGGACGTGGACGTGGAGGACGTGGACGTGGACGTGGACGTGGACGTGGACATGGACGTGGACGTGGATGCGTGGACGTGGACGTGGACGTGGACGTGGACATGGACGTGGACGTGGTCGTGGTCGTGGACGTGGACGTGGTCGTGGACGTGGACGTGGACGTACACGTGGACGTGGACGTGGACCTGGACGTGGTCGTGGACGTGGACGTGGACGTACACGTGGACGTGGACGTGGACGTGGACGTGGACGTGGACGTGGAGGACGTGGTCGTGGACGTGGACGTGGAGGACGTGGACGTGGACGTGGACGTGGACGCGTGGACGTGGACGTGGACATGGACGTGGACGCGTGGACGTGGACGTGGACGTGGACGTGGTCGTGGACGTGGACGTGGACGTGGACGTGGTCGTAGACATGGACGTGGTCGTGGACGTGGACGTGGACGTGGACGTGGACGTGGACGTGGACGTGGACGTGAACGTGAACGTGGACGTGGACGTGGACGTGGACGTGGACGTGGACGTGGACATGGACGTGGACGTGGTCGTGGACGTGGACGTGGACGTGGACGTGGACGTGGACTTGGACGTGGACGGGGACGTGGACGTGGACTTGGACGTGGTCGTGGACGTGGTCGTGGACGTGGACATGGTCGTGGACGTGGACGTGGACGTGGACGTGGACGTAAACTTGGACGTGGACGTGGACGTGGACTTGGACGTGGACGTGGTCGTGGTCGTGGACTTGGACGTGGACGTGGACGTGGACGTGGACGTGGACGTGGACGTGGACGTGGACGTGGACATGGTCGTGGACGTGGACGTGGACATGGACGTGAACGTGGACGTGGACGTGGACGTGGACGTGGACATGGTCGTGGACGTGGACGTGGAGGTGGACATGGTCGTGGACGTGGACGAGGACTTGGACGTGGACATGGACGTGGACTTGGACGTGGACTTGGACGTGGACGTGGACGTGGACCTGGTCGTGGACGTGGACGTGGACCTGGTCGTGGATGTGGACGTGGACGTGGACGTGGACGTGGTCGTGGACGAAGACGTGGACGTGGACGTGGACGTGGACGTGGACGTGGTCGTGGACATGGACGTGGTCGTGGACATGGACGTGGTCGTGGACGAAGACGTGGACCTGGACGTGGTCGTGGACATGGATGTGGACGTGGACGTGGACGTGGTCGTGGACGTGGACGTAAACGTGGACGTGGTCGTGGACGTGGACGTGGACGTGGACGTGGTCGTGGACGTGGACGTGGACGTGGTCGTGGACGTGGACGTGGACGTGGACATGGTCGTGGACGTGGACGTGGACGTGGACATGGACGTGGACGTAGACGTGGACGTGGACGTGGACGTGGACGTGGCCGTGGACGTGGTCGTGGACGTGGACGTGGTCGTGGACGTGGACGTGGACGTGGACGTGGTCGTGGACGTGGACGTGGACGTGGACGTGGACGTGGACGTGGACGTGGAGTTGGACGTGGACGTGGACGTGGACGTGGACATGGACGTGGACGTGGACGTGGACGTGGACGTGACGTGGACTTGACCTGGACGTGCACATGGACGTGGACGTGGACGTGGACGTGGAGGTGGACTTGACCTGGACGTGGACGTGGACGTGGACGTGGACGCGGACTTGACCTGGACGTGGACGTGGGACGCGGACGCGGACGTTGGACGGGGACGCGGACGCGGACGTTGGACGGGGACGTGGACGCGGACGTGGACGTGGACGCGGACGCGGACGTGCGGACGTGGACGTGGACGTGGTCGTGGACGCGGACGTGGACATGGACGTGGACGCGGACGTGGACGTGGACGTGGACGTGGACGTGGACGTGGACGTGGTCGTGGACGTGGTCGTGGACGTGGACGTGGACGTGGACGTGGACGTGGTCGTGGACGTGGACGTGGACGTGGACGTGGTCGTGGACGTGGACGTGGACGTGGACGTGGACGTGGACGTGGACATAGACGTGGTCGTGGACGTGGACGTGGACGTGGTTGTGGACGTGGACGTGGACGTGGACGTGGACCTGGACGTGGACGTGGACGTGGACGTGGACGTGGACGTGGACGTACACGTGGACATGGACATGGACGTGGACGTGGACGTGGACGTGGAGGACGTGGACGTGGACGTGGACGTGGATGTGGACGTGGACGCGTGGACGTGGACGCGTGGACGTGGACGTGGACGTGGACGTGGACGCGTGGACGTGGACGTGGACGTGGACGTGGACGTGGTCGTGGTCGTGGACGTGGACGTGGACGTAGACGTGGTCGTGGACGTGGACGTGGACGTGGACGTGGACGTGGACGTGGACGTGGACGTGGACAGGGACGTGGACGTGGACGTGGACGTGGACGTGGTCGTGGACGTGGACGTGGACGTGGACGTCGACGTGGACGTGGACGTGGACGTGGTCGTGGACGTGGATGTGGACGTGGACGTGGACGTGGTCGTGGACGTGGACGTGGACGTGGTCGTGGACGTGGACGTGGACGTGGTCGTGGACGTGGACGTGGACGTGGACGTACACGTGGACGTGGACATGGACCTGGACGTGGTCGTGGACGTGGACGTGGACGTACACGTGGACGTGGACGTGGACGTGGACGTACTCGTGGACGTGGACGTGGACGTGGACGTGGAGGACGTGGTTGTGGACGTGGACGTGGAGGACGTGGACGTGGACATGGACGTGGACGCGTGGACGTGGTCGTGGACGTGGACGTGGACGTGGACGTGGACGTGGACGTGGACGTGGTCGTGGACGTGGACGTGGACGTGGACGTGGTCGTGGACGTGGACGTGGACGTGGTCGTGGACGTGGACGTGGACGTGGACGTGGACGTGGACGTGGACGTGGACGTGGACGTGGTCGTGGACGTGGACGTGGACGTGGACATGGACGTGGACGTGGACGCGTGGACGTGGACGTGGACGTGGACGTGGTCGTGGTCGTGGACGTGGACGTGGTCGTGGTCGTGGACGTGGACGTGGACGTGGACGTGGTCGTGGACGTGGACGTGGACGTGGACGTGGACGTGGACGTGGAGATGGACGTGGACGTGGACGTGGACGTGGAGATGGACGTGGACGTGGACGTGGTAGTGGACGTGGACGTGGACGTGGACGTAGACGTGGACGTGGACGTGGACGTGGTCGTGGACGTGGACGTGGATGTGGACGTGGACGTGGTCGTGGACGTGGACGTGGACGTGGTCGTGGACGTGGACGTGGACGTGGACGTACACGTGGACGTGGACGTGGACCTGGACGTGGTCGTGGACGTGGACGTGGACGTACACGTGGACGTGGACGTGGACGTGGACGTACACGTGGACGTGGACGTGGACGTGGACGTGGACGTGGAGGACGTGGTTGTGGACGTGGACGTGGAGGACGTGGACGTGGACGTGGACGTGGATGTGGACGCGTGGACGTGGACGTGGACGTGGACGCGTGGACGTGGACGTGGACGTGGACGTGGTCGTGGACGTGGACGTGGACGTGGACGTGGTCGTGGACGTGGACGTGGACGTGGTCGTGGACGTGGACGTGGACGTGGACGTGGACGTGGACGTGGACGTGGACGTTGACGTGGACGTGGACGTGGTCGTGGACGTGGTCGTGGACGTGGACGTGGACGTGGACGTGGACGTGGTCGTGGACGTGGACGTGGACGTGGACGTGGACGTGGTCGTGGACGTGGACGTGGACGTGGACGTGGACGTGGACGTGGACGTGGACATAGACGTGGTCGTGGACGTGGACGTGGACGTGGTTGTGGACGTGGACGTGGACGTGGACGTGGACGTGGACCTGGACGTGGACGTGGACGTGGACGTGGACGTGGACGTGGACGTACACGTGGACATGGACATGGACGTGGACGTGGACGTGGACGTGGAGGACGTGGACGTGGACGTGGAGGACGTGGTTGTGGACGTGGACGTGGAGGACGTGGACGTGGACATGGACGTGGACGCGTGGACGTGGTCGTGGACGTGGACGTGGACGTGGACGTGGACGTGGACGTGGTCGTGGACGTGGACGTGGACGTGGACGTGGTCGTGGACGTGGACGTGGACGTGGTCGTGGACGTGGACGTGGACGTGGACGTGGACGTGGACGTGGACGTGGACGTGGACGTGGTCGTGGACGTGGACGTGGACGTGGACATGGACGTGGACGTGGACGCGTGGACGTGGACGTGGACGTGGACGTGGTCGTGGTCGTGGACGTGGACGTGGTCGTGGTCGTGGACGTGGACGTGGACGTGGACGTGGTCGTGGACGTGGACGTGGACGTGGACGTGGACGTGGACGTGGAGATGGACGTGGACGTGGACGTGGACGTGGAGATGGACGTGGACGTGGACGTGGTAGTGGACGTGGACGTGGACGTGGACGTAGACGTGGACGTGGACGTGGACGTGGTCGTGGACGTGGACGTGGATGTGGACGTGGACGTGGTCGTGGACGTGGACGTGGACGTGGTCGTGGACGTGGACGTGGACGTGGACGTACACGTGGACGTGGACGTGGACCTGGACGTAGTCGTGGACGTGGACGTGGACGTACACGTGGACGTGGACGTGGACGTGGACGTACACGTGGACGTGGACGTGGACGTGGACGTGGACGTGGAGGACGTGGTTGTGGACGTGGACGTGGAGGACGTGGACGTGGACGTGGACGTGGATGTGGACGCGTGGACGTGGACGTGGACGTGGACGCGTGGACGTGGACGTGGACGTGGACGTGGTCGTGGACGTGGACGTGGACGTGGTCGTGGACGTGGACGTGGACGTGGTCGTGGACGTGGACGTGGACGTGGACGTGGACGTGGACGTGGACGTGGACGTGGACGTTGACGTGGACGTGGACGTGGTCGTGGACGTGGTCGTGGACGTGGACGTGGACGTGGACGTGGACGTGGTCGTGGACGTGGACGTGGACGTGGACGTGGACGTGGACGTGGTCGTGGACGTGGACGTGGACGTGGACGTGGACGTGGACGTGGACATAGACGTGGTCGTGGACGTGGACGTGGACGTGGTTGTGGACGTGGACGTGGACGTGGACGTGGACGTGGACCTGGACGTGGACGTGGACGTGGACGTGGACGTGGACGTGGACGTACACGTGGACATGGACATGGACGTGGACGTGGACGTGGACGTGGACGTGGACGTGGAGGACGTGGACGTGGACGTGGATGTGGACGTGGACGCGTGGACGTGGACGCGTGGACGTGGACGTGGACGTGGACGTGGACGCGTGGACGTGGACGTGGACGTGGACGTGGACGTGGACGTGGTCGTGGTCGTGGACCTGGACGTGGACGTAGACGTGGTCGTGGACGTGGACGTGGACGTGGACGTGGACGTGGACGTAGAGATGGACGTGGACGTGGACAGGGACGTGGACGTGGACGTGGTCGTGGACGTGGACGTGGACGTGGACGTAGACGTGGACGTGGACGTGGACGTGGTCGTGGACGTGGACGTGGATGTGGACGTGGACGTGGTCGTGGACGTGGACGTGGACGTGGTCGTGGACGTGGACGTGGACGTGGACGTACACGTGGACGTGGACGTGGACCTGGACATGGTCGTGGACGTGGACGTGGACGTACACGTGGACGTGGACGTCGACGTGGACGTACACGTGGACGTGGACGTGGACGTGGACGTGGAGGACGTGGTTGTGGACGTGGACGTGGAGGACGTGGACGTGGACATGGACGTGGACGCGTGGACGTGGACGTGGACGTGGACGTGGACGTGGACGTGGTCGTGGACGTGGACGTGGACGTGGACGTGGTCGTGGACGTGGACGTGGACGTGGTCGTGGACGTGGACGTGGACGTGGACGTGGACGTGGACGTGGACGTGGACGTGGTCGTGGACGTGGACGTGGACGTGGACATGGACGTGGACGTGGACGCGTGGACGTGGACGTGGACGTGGACGTGGTCGTGGTCGTGGACGTGGACGTGGTCGTGGTCGTGGACGTGGACGTGGACATACACGTGGACATGGACATGGACGTGGACGTGGACGTGGACGTGGACGTGGAGGACGTGGACGTGGACGTGGACGTGGATGTGGACGTGGACGCGTGGACGTGGACGCGTGGACGTGGACGTGGACGTGGACGTGGACGCGTGGACGTGGACGTGGACGTGGACGTGGACGTGGACGTGGACGTGGTCGTGGTCGTGGACGTGGACGTGGACGTAGACGTGGTCGTGGACGTGGACGTGGACGTGGACGTGGACGTGGACGTGGACGTGGACGTGGACAGGGACGTGGACGTGGACGTGGACGTGGACGTGGTCGTGGACGTGGACGTGGACGTGGACGTCGACGTGGACGTGGACGTGGACGTGGTCGTGGACGTGGATGTGGACGTGGACGTGGACGTGGTCGTGGACGTGGACATGGACGTGGTCGTGGACGTGGACGTGGACGTGGACGTACACGTGGACGTGGACATGGACCTGGACGTGGTCGTGGACGTGGACGTGGACGTACACGTGGACGTGGACGTGGACGTGGACGTACTCGTGGACGTGGACGTGGACGTGGACGTGGAGGACGTGGTTGTGGACGTGGACGTGGAGGACGTGGACGTGGACATGGACGTGGACGCGTGGACGTGGTCGTGGACGTGGACGTGGACGTGGACGTGGACGTGGACGTGGTCGTGGACGTGGACGTGGACGTGGTCGTGGACGTGGACGTGGACGTGGTCGTGGACGTGGACGTGGACGTGGACGTGGACGTGGACGTGGACGTGGACGTGGACGTGGACGTGGACGTGGTCGTGGACGTGGACGTGGACGTGGACATGGACGTGGACGTGGACGCGTGGACGTGGACGTGGACGTGGACGTGGTCGTGGTCGTGGACGTGGACGTGGTCGTGGTCGTGGACGTGGACGTGGACGTGGACGTGGTCGTGGACGTGGACGTGGACGTGGACGTGGACGTGGACGTGGAGATGGACGTGGACGTGGACGTGGACGTGGAGATGGACGTGGACGTGGACGTGGTAGTGGACGTGGACGTGGACGTGGACGTAGACGTGGACGTGGACGTGGACGTGGTCGTGGACGTGGACGTGGATGTGGACGTGGACGTGGTCGTGGACGTGGACGTGGACGTGGTCGTGGACGTGGACGTGGACGTGGACGTACACGTGGACGTGGACGTGGACCTGGACGTGGTCGTGGACGTGGACGTGGACGTACACGTGGACGTGGACGTGGACGTGGACGTGGACGTGGACGTGGAGGACGTGGTTGTGGACGTGGACGTGGAGGACGTGGACGTGGACGTGGACGTGGATGTGGACGCGTGGACGTGGACGTGGACGTGGACGTGGACGCGTGGACGTGGACGTGGACGTGGACGTGGTCGTGGACGTGGACGTGGACGTGGACGTGGTCGTGGACGTGGACGTGGACGTGGTCGTGGACGTGGACGTGGACGTGGACGTGGACGTGGACGTGGACGTGGACGTGGACGTGGACGTTGACGTGGACGTGGACGTGGTCGTGGACGTGGTCGTGGACGTGGACGTGGACGTGGACGTGGACGTGGTCGTGGACGTGGACGTGGACGTGGACGTGGACGTGGTCGTGGACGTGGACGTGGACGTGGACGTGGACGTGGACGTGGACGTGGACATAGACGTGGTCGTGGACGTGGACGTGGACGTGGTTGTGGACGTGGACGTGGACGTGGACGTGGACCTGGACGTGGACGTGGACGTGGACGTGGACGTGGACGTGGACGTACACGTGGACATGGACATGGACGTGGACGTGGACCTGGACGTGGACGTGGACGTGGAGGACGTGGACGTGGACGTGGATGTGGACGTGGACGCGTGGACGTGGACGCGTGGACGTGGACGTGGACGTGGACGTGGACGCGTGGACGTGGACGTGGACGTGGACGTGGACGTGGACGTGGTCGTGGTCGTGGACCTGGACGTGGACGTAGACGTGGTCGTGGACGTGGACGTGGACGTGGACGTGGACGTGGACGTGGACGTAGAGATGGACGTGGACGTGGACAGGGACGTGGACGTGGACGTGGTCGTGGACGTGGACGTGGACGTGGACGTAGACGTGGACGTGGACGTGGACGTGGTCGTGGACGTGGACGTGGATGTGGACGTGGACGTGGTCGTGGACGTGGACGTGGACGTGGTCGTGGACGTGGACGTGGACGTGGACGTACACGTGGACGTGGACGTGGACCTGGACATGGTCGTGGACGTGGACGTGGACGTACACGTGGACGTGGACGTGGACGTGGACGTACACGTGGACGTGGACGTGGACGTGGAGGACGTGGTTGTGGACGTGGACGTGGAGGACGTGGACGTGGACATGGACGTGGACGCGTGGACGTGGACGTGGACGTGGACGTGGACGTGGTCGTGGACGTGGACGTGGACGTGGACGTGGTCGTGGACGTGGACGTGGACGTGGTTGTGGACGTGGACGTGGACGTGGACGTGGACGTGGACGTGGACGTGGACGTGGACATGGTCGTGGACGTGGACGTGGACGTGGACATGGACGTGGACGTGGACGCGTGGACGTGGACGTGGACGTGGACGTGGTCGTGGTCGTGGACGTGGACGTGGTCGTGGTCGTGGACGTGGACGTGGACGTGGACGTGGTCGTGGACGTGGACGTGGACGTGGACGTGGACGTGGAGATGGACGTGGACGTGGACGTGGACGTGGAGATGGACGTGGACGTGGACGTGGTAGTGGACGTGGACGTGGACGTGGACGTAGACGTGGACGTGGACGTGGACGTGGTCGTGGACGTGGTAGTGGACGTGGACGTGGACGTGGTCGTACACGTGGACGTGGACGTGGACGTGGACGTACACGTGGACGTGGACGTGGACGTGGACGTGGACGTACACGTGGTTGTGGACGTGGACGTGGAGGACGTGGACGTGGACGTGGACGTGGACGTGGAGGACGTGGTTGTGGACGTGGACGTGGAGGACGTGGACGTGGACGTGGACGTGGATGTGGACGCGTGGACGTGGACGTGGACGTGGACGTGGACGCGTGGACGTGGACGTGGACGTGGACGTGGACGTGGACGTGGACGTGGTCGTGGACGTGGACGTGGACGTGGACGCGTGGACGTGGACGTGGACGTGGACGTGGTCGTGGACGTGGACGTGGACGTGGACGTGGACGTGGACGTGGACGTGGACGTGGACGTGGTCGTGGTCGTGGACGTGGACGTGGTCGTGGTCGTGGACGTGGACGTGGACGTGGACGTGGTCGTGGACGTGGACGTGGACGTGGACGTGGACGTGGAGATGGACGTGGACGTGGACGTGGACGTGGAGATGGACGTGGACGTGGACGTGGTAGTGGACGTGGACGTGGACGTGGACGTAGACGTGGACGTGGACGTGGACGTGGTCGTGGACGTGGTAGTGGACGTGGACGTGGACGTGGTCGTACACGTGGACGTGGACGTGGACGTGGACGTACACGTGGACGTGGACGTGGACGTGGACGTGGACGTACACGTGGTTGTGGACGTGGACGTGGAGGACGTGGACGTGGACGTGGACGTGGACGTGGAGGACGTGGTTGTGGACGTGGACGTGGAGGACGTGGACGTGGACGTGGACGTGGATGTGGACGCGTGGACGTGGACGTGGACGTGGACGTGGACGCGTGGACGTGGACGTGGACGTGGACGTGGACGTGGACGTGGACGTGGTCGTGGACGTGGACGTGGACGTGGACGCGTGGACGTGGACGTGGACGTGGACGTGGTCGTGGACGTGGACGTGGACGTGGACGTGGACGTGGACGTGGACGTGGACGTGGACGTGGACGTGGACGTGGACGTGGACGTGGACGTGGACGTGGACGTGGACGTGGACGTGGACGTGGACGTGAACGTGAACGTGGACGTGGACGTGGACGTGGACGTGGACGTGGACGTGGACATGGACGTGGACGTGGTCGTGGACGTGGACGTGGACGTGGACGTGGACTTGGACGTGGACGTGGACGTGGACGTGGACTTGGACGTGGTCGTGGACGTGGTCGTGGACGTGGACATGGTCGTGGACGTGGACGTGGACGTGGACGTAAACTTGGACGTGGACGTGGACGTGGACGTGGACTTGGACGTGGACGTGGTCGTGGTCGTGGACTTGGACGTGGACGTGGACGTGGACGTGGACGTGGACGTGGACGTGGACGTGGACATGGTCGTGGACGTGGACGTGGACATGGACGTGAACGTGGACGTGGACGTGGACATGGTCGTGGACGTGGACGTGGAGGTGGACATGGTCGTGGACGTGGACGTGGACGTGGAGGTGGACATGGTCGTGGACGTGGATGTGGAGGACTTGGACGTGGACATGGACGTGGACTTGGACGTGGACTTGGACGTGGACGTGGACGTGGACCTGGTCGTGGACGTGGACGTGGACGTGGACGTGGATGTGGACGTGGACGTGGTCGTGGACAAAGACATGGACGTGGACGTGGACGTGGACGTGGTCGTGGACGAAGACGTGGACCTGGACGTGGTCGTGGACATGGACGTGGACGTGGACGTGGACGTGGTCGTGGACGTGGACGTAGACGTGGACGTGGTCGTGGACGTGGACGTGGACGTGGACGTGGTCGTGGACGTGGACGTGGACGTGGTCGTGGACGTGGACGTGGACGTGGACGTGGACATGGTCGTGGACGTGGACGTGGACGTGGACATGGACGTGGACGTGGACGTGGACGTGGACGTGGACGTGGACGTGGCCGTGGACGTGGTCGTGGACGTGGACGTGGACGTGGACGTGGACGTGGACGTGGTCGTGGACGTGGACGTGGACGTGGACGTGGACGTGGACGTGGACGTGGACGTGGACTTGGACGTGGACGTGGACATGGACGTGGACGTGGACGTGGACGTGGACGTGGACGTGACGTGGACTTGACCTGGACGTGCACGTGGACGTGGACGTGGACGTGGACGTGGACGTGGAGGTGGACTTGACCTGGACGTGGACGTGGACGTGGACGTGGACGCGGACTTGACCTGGACGTGGACGTGGGACGCGGACGCGGACGTTGGACAGGGACGCGGACGCGGACGTTGGACGGGGACGTGGACGCGGACGTGGACGTGGACGCGGACGCGGACGTGCGGACGTGGACGTGGACGTGGTCGTGGACGCGGACGTGGACATCGACGTGGACGTGGACATGGTCGTGGACGCGAACGCGGACGTGGACGTGGACGTGGACGTGGTCGTGGACGTGGTCGTTGACGTGGACGTGGACGTGGACGTGGACGTGGTCGTGGACGTGGACGTGGACTTGGACGTGGACGTGCACGTGGACGTGGACGTGGACTGGACCTGGACGTGGACTTGACCTGGACGTGGACGTGGACGTGGACGTGGAAGTGGAAGTGGACGTGGACGTGGACGTGGACGTGGAAGTGGAAGTGGACGTGGACGTGGACCTGGACCTGGACGTGGACGTGGACGTGGACATGGACGTGGACATGGACATAGACGTGGACGTGGACGTAGACGTGGACGTGGACTTGGACGTGGACGTGGACGTGGACGTGGACGTGGTCGTGGACGTGGACGTGGACGTGGTCGTGGACGTGGACGTGGACATGGATGTGGACGTGGACGTGGACGTGGACGTGGACGTGGTCGTGGACGTGGACGTGGACGTGGACGTGGACGTGGACGTGGACAGGGACGTGGACGTGGACGTGGTCGTGGACGTGGACATGGTCGTGGACGTGGACGTGGACGTGGACGTGGACGTGGACGTGGTCGTGGACGTGGACGTGGACATGGTCGTGGACGTGGACGTGGACGTGGTCGTGGACGTGGACGTGGACGTGGACGTGAACATGGACGTGGACGTGGACGTGGACGTGGACGTGGACATGGACGTGGACGTGGACGTGGACATGGTCGTGGACGTGGACATGGACATGGACGTGGACGTGAACGTGGACGTGGACATTGTTGTGGACGTGGACGTGGACGTGGACGTGGACGTGGACATGGACATGGACGTGAACGTGGACATGGACGTGGACGTGGACGTGGACGTGGACGTGGACATGGACGTGGACGTGGAGGTGGACGTGGACATGGACGTGGACGTGGACGTGGACGTGGACGTGAACGTGGACTTGGACATGGTCGTGGACGTGGACGTGGACGTGGACATGGACATGGACGTGGACGTGGACGTGGACGTGGACATGGACATGGAAGTGGACGTGGACATGGACGTGGACGTGGACATAGATGTGGTCGTGGTCGTGGACCTGGACGTGGTCGTGGACGTGGACGTGGACGTGGAGATGGACGTGGACGTGGACGTGGACAAGAGCTTGCGTGGTCCAGGAGCTTGCGTGGTCCAAGAGCTTGCGTGGTCCAGGAGCTTGCCTGGTCCAGGAGCTTGCCTGGTCCAGGAGCATGCCTGGTCAACGAGCTTCCCTGGTCCAGGAGGTTGCCTGGTCCTGGAGCTTGCTTGGTCCAAGAGCTTGCCTGGTCCAGGAGCTTGCCTGGTCCAGGAGCATGCCAGGTCAACGAGCTTGCCTGGTCCATGAGCGTGTCTGGTCGAGGAGCTTGCTTGGTCTAGGAGCTTGCCTTATCCAGGAGCTTGCCTGGTCCAAGAGCTTGCGTGGTCCAAGAGCTTGCGTGGTCCAGGAGCTTGCCTTGTCCAGGAGCTTGCCTGGTCTAGGAGCTATCCTAGTCCAGGAGCTTGCCTGGTCAAGGAGCGTGCGTTGTCCACGAGTTTGCCTGGTCCAGAAGCTTGCCTGGTCCAAGAGCTTGCCTGGTCTAGGAGCTTGCTTGGTCCAAGAGCGTGCCTAGTCCAGGAGCTTGCCTGGTCTAGGAGCTATCCTGGTCCAGGAGCTTGCCTGGTCCAGGAGCTTGCCTTGTCCAGGAGCTTTCTTGGTCCGTTAGCTTGCCTGATTCAGGAGCTTGCCTGGTCCAAGAGCTTGCCTGGTCCAAGAGCTTGCCTGGTCTAGGAGCTTTCCTGGTCTAAGAGCTTGCCTGGTCTAGGGGCTTGCATGTTCCAGGAGCTTGCCTGATCCAGGAGCTTGCCTGGTCCAAGAGCATTCCTGGTCCAGGAGCTTGCCTGGTCCAGGAGCGTGCCTGGTCCACGAGCGAGCCTGGTCCGGGAGCTTGCCTGGTAAAGGAGCGTGCCTCGTCCACGTGCTTGCTTGATCCAGGAGCTTGCTTGGTCCAGGAGATTGCCTAGTCTAGGAGCTTGCCTTGTCTAGGAACGTGCCTGGTCCTTGAGTGTGCCTGGTCCATGAGCTTGCTTGGTCCAGAAGCCTGCCTGGTCCAAGAGCTTGCCTGGTCTAGGAGCGTGCCTAGTCCAAGAGCTTGCCTGGTGTAGGAGCTTGCCTGGTCCATGAGCGTGCCTGGTCCAACACAATGGGTTGAACAAACGGTGCGTTGAACACACGGTGGGTGGAACACACGGTGGGTTGAACACATGGTGGGTTAAACACACGGTGGGTTGATCACACCGTGGGTGGAACACACGGTGGGTTGAACGCACGGTGGGTTGAACACACGGTGGGTTGAACAGACGATAGGTTAACACACGTTGGGTTGAACACACGGTGGGTTGAACACACGGTGGGTTGAACACACGGTAGGTTTAAGACACGGTGGGTTGAACACACGGTGCATTGAACATTCGGTGGGTGGAACACACGGTGGGTTGAACACACGGTGGGTTCAAAACACGGTGGGTTCAACACACGGTGGGTTCAACACACGATGCGTTGAACACACGGTGGGTGGAACACACGGTGGGTTGAACACACAGTGGGTTGAACAAAAGGTGGGTTGATCACATGGTGGGTGGAACACACGGTGGGTTGAACACACGGTGGGTTGAACACACGATAGGTTGAACACACCGTGGGTTGAACACACGGTGGGTTAAACACACGGTGGGTTGAACACGCGGTGGGTTCAACACACGGTGGGTGGAACACATGGTGGGTTGAACACATGGTGGGTTGATCACACGATAGGTTGAACACACGGTGGGTTGATCACACGGTGGGTTGAACATACGGTAGGTTTAAGACACGGTGGGTTGAACACACGGTGCATTGAACATTCGGTGGGTGGAACACACCGTGGGTTGAACATACGGTGGGTTCAAAACACGGTGGGTTCAACACACGGTGGGTTCAACACACGATGCGTTGAACACACGGTGGGTGGAACACACGGTGGGTTGAACACACGGTGCGTTGAACACACGGTGGGTTGAACACACGGTGCGTTGAACATACGATGGGTTGATCACACGGTGGGTGGAACACACGGTGGGTTGAACACACGGTGGGTTGAACACACGATAGGTTGAGCACACAATGGGTTGAACACACGGTGCATTGAACACACGGTGGGTGGAACACACGGTGGGTTGAACACATGGTGGGTTAAACACACGGCGGGTTGATCACACCGTGGGTGGAACACACAGTGGGTTGAACACACGGTGGGTTGAACACACGGTGGGTTGAACAGACGATAGGTTAACACACGTTGGGTTGAACACACGGTGGGTTGAACACACGGTGGGTTGAACACACGGTAGGTTTAAGACACGGTGGGTTGAACACACGGTGCATTGAACATTCGGTGGGTGGAACACACGGTGGGTTGAACACACGGTGGGTTCAAAACACGGTGGGTTCAACACACGGTGGGTTCAACACACGATGCGTTGAACACACGGTGGGTGGAACACACGGTGGGTTGAACACACAGTGGGTTGAACAAAAGGTGGGTTGATCACACGGTGGGTGGAACACACGGTGGGTTGAATACACGGTGGGTTGAACACACGATAGGTTGAACACACCGTGGGTTGAACACACGGTGGGTTAAACACACGGTGGGTTGAACACGCGGTGGGTTCAACACACGGTGGGTGGAACACATGGTGGGTTGAACACATGGTGGGTTGATCACACGATAGGTTGAACACACGGTGGGTTGATCACACGGTGGGTTGAACATACGGTAGGTTTAAGACACGGTGGGTTGAACACACGGTGCATTGAACATTCGGTGGGTGGAACACACCGTGGGTTGAACATACGGTGGGTTCAAAACACGGTGGGTTCAACACACGGTGGGTTCAACACACGATGCGTTGAACACACGGTGGGTGGAACACACGGTGGGTTGAACACACGGTGCGTTGAACACACGGTGGGTTGAACACACAGTGCGTTGAACATATGATGGGTTGATCACACGGTGGGTGGAACACACGGTGGGTTGAACACACGGTGGGTTGAACACACGATAGGTTGAGCACACAATGGGTTGAACACACGGTGCATTGAACACACGGTGGGTGGAACACACGGTGGGTTGAACACATGGTGGGTTAAACACACGGCGGGTTGATCACACCGTGGGTGGAACACACAGTGGGTTGAACACACGGTGGGTTGAACACACGGTGGGTTGAACAGACGATAGGTTTAACACACGGTGGGTTGAACACACGGTGGGTTGAACACACGGTGGGTTGAACACACGGTATGTTTAAGACACGGTGGGTTACACACCATGTGTTCAACACAGCATGTGCTCAACCTATCGTGTGTTCAACCCACCGTGTGTTCAACCCACCGTGTGTTCAACCCACCGTGTGTTAAACCCACCGTGTGTTCAACCCACCGTATGTTCAACCCACCATGTGTTCAACCCACCGTGTGTTCCACCCACCGTGTGTTGAACCCACCGTGTGTTGAACCCACCGTGTGTTGAGCCCACCGTGTGTTCAACCCACCGTGTGTTCAACCTATCCTATGTTCAACGCACCGTGTGTTCAACCCACCATGTGTTCAACGCACCGTGTGTTCAACCCACCGTGTGTTCAACCCACCGTGTGTTCAACCCACCGTGTGTTC